GGCGGCCCAGGAGTGACCGTGCGCACCCGTGAAAGGGAACCAAGGAGACGGGAGCAGAAACGGTTGGTGTAGAAGTGCGAGCTGATTGCCGGTTGTTTGCTGACGAAACCAGCATTGTCAATACCTGTGTCTGCTCCCTCTGCCAAAGCTTCTAGGTCCAACGGACCCCGCCCTTCACCCGGAACAGCTGCACAGAAAGAAGAATGAGACTTTGAGACTTACGAGCACATCCTGACACACGCGCATGTGAGTGGATGCGTGGACTTCGTCAGCCCCGCTGCCCATGAGGACCAAAATGCTTCCGCCTACGACGGGAGAGTTTGAACTTTTTTTTTCCTCTCTCTCTAAATGCAAGTGGGAACCGTAGTAACTTTTCTATGGGGTTGAAATGTAATCATTTTTTTTTTTTTTGCATACCGGTCTTTCCTGTGTTTTATATTTCTAATGACATGGTTTTCTAGCTGATGGTTTGACATTTGTAACTGATGCCCCGATGATGCGTTGTCCACGGGTTTGGGTTTTCGTTTTGTTCTCAAACCAGAGAATATGTCTGTATACTTTGATGTGTTTATATTTATTTGAAATGAAACAAATACTGAGAAAATAGCCACTGTTTAGGCTCTCTCTCTCTCTCTCTCTCTCTCTCTCTCTCTCTGTCTCTGTCTCTGTCTCTCTCGTTGCTATTTACCTTATTTAGAATAATAAAATAAGTGGGAAAATACCCCTGCCTCTGGGCTAGCCGATAGCTCTGGGGTTAAACCCAGCATTTCCCACGACTACCAGCTGACCCTCAGGTTTGTTCCTTGCCTGGTCCCACGCTGTTGTCAAGCAGAACCCGTCCACGAGATGAAAACAGGTGTAGCTGATCATGCACGCGAAGGCAGCCCAAGGAAAGACCCGGAGGCTGCGGAAAAGACACTCAAAATGTCCCATGACTCTGAGACTTAATGGGAAACAAGGCCAAGGGTGGGCACTGTGCCAAGAAGAGGAATTAAAACCAAACACAGGGACGCAAACCCAGGCGCTGTGCTCTACTCGCTGGAGGTTCAGAAGAGACCTCCGCAACAGTGGGTCACAGCGTTCCAGGGTTAGAGCAGGTTCTGTCTTCGCCCTTGGATTTTCTATCTTACAGTGTTTTGCAGGGCTGGCTCACATCTGGATGAGACTCAGACAACATACGCTATTGTTCCCACCAAGCTGGGGGCCTTTACCCTCACTCTTTTCAATATCCCTGATTTAATTAAAACTCACGTTGGATCTTCACAAATGAGAACTTGTTCAGAAGTTTTATAAAACTGATATTGATTTCAGCAGGCAAATCTTGCACCAGCAACATCTTTTTTTAACCTTCTCGGGGTGAAGGTGTGATGAACCCCTCCATCTGTTCTTTTGGTTTGGAGCAGGTGTGTTTTTAACACGTGGACAGACTGCTAATGAGCAGCAAGGACCTCACCGTTAGGGAAACCCCGCAGATTAAGGGAGTGTTCCTGCTGAAGAGGCACGATGGGCCATACTGTCTTCTTTCAGAAGGGAGTGGAAGTCTTGCCGGGCTGGCATTTAAAGCAGGAAATGAAATGCCGGCATTGGTAGTTGACGCAGTAGAGAGGAAGGGGGTTGCTTCAGCAAAGCAATGTCCTAGCAGGAACCACTGTGGCCATGGAGCCCTGCTGGCCTTCCCTTCCTCTTTCTGATGGAGGAAAGACAAGGCGCCCAATGAAATCAAGCTTACAAAGAGAGCCATTCTTCTGAATTGTCTGTCTGTCTGTCTGTCTGCCTGTCTGTGTCTGTCTGTCTTTCTCACCTTCTCTGGCTCTGTCCCTCCTCCCTGCCCAACAAGACCAAAAGTTTTTTGTTTTTTTTTTTAAGAAATAACTTTTTAAAAACCTATAACTTCTCTGGATTTCAGTTGTCTCGTGCATGTTTGCGACATCACTTTCTGGGGGTATGGGGGGGGAGTGTTTTTAGTGGTGTCTGAGTCGCTCAGTGCTTTCTCCTAAACGCATGGTTTTTAGATTGTATGTTCGCCACCGCCACAAGGACCATGTCTGATTGCACTTACCTGTCCGCTGGTGTCTGCCTATCTCTGGTAAATTCATGGCTATCTCCAAATCGCCTAAAAGTCCTAGCAAATCATAACTCAGGGGATTTCTATTCGTCACCACCAAAAGGGCACCACAGTATGTTTTGGTACACTGGGCAGTGAACGGCCGTTTGGCTTGTAGCCCCGTTGCATTAGAACGAGGACACCGAAGGATTCGTCGCACACTGGTCACGCTCACGCTAGTGAGCAGCTGGGTTTGTGCAACCATTGCACTGTTGAGAAACTCGTCCCGTTGTGGTCTTGTGTCACGATGTCAGAGTGCCTTTTATATTTGTATATCCTGGAAATGTTCCGTGAGACGCTTTGTGTCTTTTCACCCGAGTGTTACTGGAGCAATATGACCCTAGGGAGTTTTTTTTTCTTTTTTCTTTTCTTTCAATGTCTCCTTTTCCTATTTCTCCCCTTCTCTGCTTTGAAACGAAGATGCTGAAGTTTTCTATAGGAGTTACGTTGGGCTCTGTCGTGCCGAGATGCTATCTCCGCTCAGGGCTGTCAACCATAGGTCAGTATTATAGAGGAACAGCGTTCTAAGATAGTGACAATCTGAGCGTGCGCGTAGAATGTAATCCCGTGTGTTTCCTATGCAGTGATCTGAAGAGTCGATGCAAGCATCTTCTGTGTAGTAGGTTCGTCTGCAGACGACGCTGTAGCATGTGCAATATATCCCTGCCAACATGTTGTGCCGGTGTTGCGTTTTGTATAACACGTTTGTAACAGCAAAAACTATGGTGTGATGATTTCAGTGGGATTTTTGTCTGTACTTTTTTAAAAAAAATGAAAAAATCGGACTTGAATGACTCTGGTCAATGTCATAGGTGTAAAAATGAGGAAAACGGCTTTCGGTTCAGTGAAGGACTTTGAACCAGTCTGAATCTCCCCAAGCACAGTTTAAAACTTTGCAACTACTGAGTGCTCTCGCAATGGAATGAAGTACTTACTTGTAATATACTGTGGACCTGCATCCAGATGGTTATTTTTGCAAATAAAAACGGTACAAATATTGTTGCAACTCGTGTTCTCTTCCATTTCTCAGAGGTGTGCTTTTTTTTCAAATTATGCTAATTCAAATCTTTGCTCCCTAACTCCAAACCCAATTAATTGTGAAAACAATCAAGGAAGCAGCCTCCAGGCTTGCTGTTTATGCTTCCGTGATCATACCTAAAGGAAAGACTTGAGCCTATATACTATGTTCATTATAGTTATGTATTCCTCCAACATTTTGCATAGAGAAGTTCAGCTGAATTATAACGAAAGTCGTGTGTCAGCCAGAAGCAGAAAGGCCGTGCGATTATGGGGACCATCAAATTTGACACGGTGGCTCCGACTGAGGTTGGGGTCGCTGTAAACATACTTGTGGCGAGAAGGAAGCATAGTAAGTCGCATCTGTGGCACAGGAGGAAATCACGCAGGTTCTCACACTTGCACAACCTCTTGTCCGCACAACTGTCTCCGCTGCCATGTGTGGCCAGGCCAACGAGCTATCCTTAGAGGTGGAGTCCAGTTTGCTTCTGTCTGTCCTAAGTTTCTCCCTGTATTATTAGCTTTGGGGACAGTCACCGGAAAAGCTGAGGGACAAGCCTAATGGTGATGTCTCCAGTTACTGAGAAAGGTTTGGGGTGTGTGGCTTGTCCCCGTTCCTCCAATCACAGCGTCACGGAATATATCATCTCAGTTCTTACAGACCAGTCCTGTCCCCAGCTTTTTCTTTAAGGAAGCATTATTTCGGAGATGTCTACGGCCTGCTCAGGTTTGCAGAGCTCATGATATGACCACACAATCTGTGCCTCTCTGCTCTCTCCACCGTGCCATCCTGCCATAGAGGGTTTGCTTTTCTAACATACCTCCAATTCTCTAGAAATATGTTTTGAGATCCCGTCTGTAGTCAAGGGCACAGGACTGCTGATGGATGGATGAGGAACCGGTGGCAGAAATCACTGGGAGCTCCTTGTCACACTGTTCTCTCCCAGTGTCCTCCGAAGGTGTGGCCCTGTCCCAGAATACCTTTCCAGGGATGGCTGTGGCAGGAATTGTTGGCTTGGCTTCATAGATTCCTTTGAAGAATAAGGGATCCCTAATTTTATTTTTTATTTTTTGCCCTCCTAAGCAAACCGCAGCCTCTCCTGCAGTGTAATTGTGCGCATGTCCCTCCTTGTCCTCAAATTGCTTATCCATTGATCCTTCTCTGATTCCACTCAATGGGCTTAGAGCCTCACAGATCTGCACCCCCCCCCCTCAACGTGTCCCAGAATTGGCTTCGAAGAGCCAGGAGCGTCCAGCTTAGAAGGCTATGAAGGCGGCGGGAAGCCTTGTGGGTAAGCGTGTTCTACGGATTTTCCTTTTTGCACATTTCACTCTGAAGGCACACGGGCTGTGAAGTAAATGCAGCCCATGCATTTCCAATCTCCCAGGGAGTAGTTGGGAGTGCGTGGCCATTTGTGGTTGGCCCAGTGTCTGGAGACTGAGGAGCATCTATTATCGGGAGACTCAGGGACGCCCGATGTGCCACCTGGGTCAGTGACCAGCTGTTCCACAACCCACTCCCAATGCCAACGGTCCCTTCCTCCATGGCTCATTTAATGACTCTGCGCTTGTTTCGCAATCAACTTATTGCCTGTGCAACCAGAATCCTATAAACAGTTCCCGCCATGTGTCCCCACTTAAGAAGAGTTTACATTGGAAGGTCAGCTAAGCCCGCGTACCCTCTTTCTCCCCAGGAGGGACCACATACAGGTGAGTAAGCAAGAGAATAGCACCACGAGTTCAAGGTGAGTTTTTAATTCCTGTGTTCATGAGCACACTCACCTGGGCACATGGACATATTCCTGGAGGGCAGTGATATCTAATTTTCAGGTTAGGGTATCGGAGGCCGTTGAGTACCAGCCTCGGTGGGAGCGCTGTGGCTTCACAAGGGTTTTACAGAAATGGCGGTGACAATTCAAAAGGCAAATATCCCCAATGCCCTGCCATCTGGATGTCCTCCGCTGGACGGTGTGGTCCCTGAGGGGTAACCCAGTGATTTCTGTCAACTGTCTTCTCACTGAGGAATTCTGGGGACCACAGCAGTCGGGAAACTTCTGCTTACAAAGATGGGAGATGTGGCCCAGTGTCACATGGTGAGATCCGGAAAGACATCGCCGTAGCCTCTAGACCCTGGAGGACACGGTCTATATCTTTAATGGACAGTTGGAGTATACTTCAGGAAGGAGTTTATACTTTTCAAAAGTCAGAACATGTGAGCGTTTCAAGGACAGAAAGTGGACCTGTGTTTTCATCCACGTGATATTGTGTGACCAGTGGCCTTTGTCTAGAGGGTATTTCCAGATCTTGGTATCGTGTTCAGAGAATGGAAGAAGTACTCACAAATTTCAAAATATCAGGGGATTTTACTCAAAGATTGCAAGTACAGAATAGATGCATTTCAAGCAATCCAAGAGGCCGCGAGTGAGTTTTCCTCAAGAGCATTGGGTTAGGCTGTCTTGTCGGGGCCCAGCAGGGAGAGGAGCTGGCTACTGAGGTGTGAGCCATGGCTGATTTCATTAATGGGCTTCCACAGTCTTTGATCACGGTACATTTTTCCCATGATGCATCAGATTTTAATTTTTCATACACTCGTAGGCATAATATTGGAAATAAGAAAAGTTCCCCTAAAAGTTCACTCACACAAAGAAACCAAGTTCCCTTTCTATGAATGCATCCAAAACCAGTTCAGGCAGGTTTGGCCTCTTCTCCTTAGTTACAGGATATGTTTAAGATGGGTTTGCAGGAAAACTGAATTGTTTGGAGCATGGTCTATGTGCAATGTGACGCATGTTGGGGATCCCAGGCTGCTGAATGCATTACTGGGAAAGGGGTATCTGTATTTCTCAGGACATGTGGGCTTCTGTAGTATTGAGGTATCTCTGGACTGACCTGCCTCTCAAGACCAGCAAGTTTGAGAAGCCTCCATTACTCCTAGTTCTTATTTTTCTTCTCATTTTCTTTCCTTCTTTTTTTTAAAGGCAGATTTTCACGAGGTAGCCTAGTCCGCTTGGCCTTGCCCTCTCCGTCCTTCTGCCTCAGCCTCCCGAGTGCTGGGTTTACAGGCTGCACCACCATGTCTGGCGTAATTGCTAATCTTTCTTATTTGATTCCCTAAGAGAGATAAGTACGGAAGTTCAGTTCTTCTTTTTTTTTCTTTTTTTTTTTTAAGATTGCAAGGTTATATTTTAATCTGAACATATTTTTTATTTATTTATTAAAGATTTCTGTCTCTTCTCCACCGCTGCCTCCCCTTTCCCTCCCCCTCCCCCAGTCAAGTCCCCCTCCCTCGTCAGCCCAAAGAGCAATCAGGGTTCCCTGCCCTGTGGGAAGTCCAAGGACCACCCACCTCCATCCAGGTCTAGTAAGGTGAGCATCCACGAAACTGCCTAGGCTCCCACGAAACCAATTGGTGAGCTCTGGTCCCTGAGCTCAAAAAATAACATAGAGACCTGTAAAAGAAGACCCGAGATGTTGACCTGTAAAAGAAGACCCGTGACGTTGACCTGGGCCTCGACCTGCACACAAACACATGTGCACCTGTACATACGTGTCACCCACAAACATATATGCGCTGTACACATGTAGGTGCAAAAAATTTAAATATTAAAAATAATTTTTTAAAATCCAGAGCGTGGCGATATGACAAATGGCCCAAGAGCCGTTTACGTCACAATCTGAGCAAAATGGATGGGAAAATCGGGCTACACTACAACTCAGTACCATTCAGGTATTTCAGTATCGGTAGACACATACTCAAACCTGATTTATTACCGGACTGAAGACCAGTTTTAGGATTAAGCTGAAGCTTTTAAAGGAAAAAGGGGTCATATTTCTGTTTAAAAAGAAAAAAAGAAGACTAGCCCTTGACTATGGCATGATGACAGATGTTAAGAGCGTACGATTTAACCTCAATGTGTTTCTCAGGCTCCTCAGAAACCATGACAGATGGCTCAGAGTTGTTCCGTGAACAAAGGAATGTGTGGATCCGACACACATCTCAGAGATAATTGTGAGATATTGAGCCCTTCGTCCCCAGAGAACAAGGACTAAAATTGCTGGAACTCAGTGTTCCTCTTAGTGACAACTAAGCATACTTTATAATATTGCATTTTCCTTGAAAAAAATTAACCTCTCACTGAAAAAAAATAGTTAATGTGGGTTTTGATTCCTTTGGAATTTATTTATTTATTCATTTATTTTTAGAAATTGTTTGACTTCTGAAATACCGTGTTTTTATTCTCATCCATTTTGGGTCTGCAGTTTCTTCCTGACTCTGGCGTTATGATTCAAATCTGTAAAGATTCTGTTCCAGGACCATTCCCTGTAAACTCACTGCTCTTCTGCTGAACCTCCTTCACAAGAGGCGACCCCTTACCACTTCTCCTTCACCAGGCTGCTGGGCGCGTTTTGTTTTGGCATCAGTGTTGAAACCTCTGATAAAGAGTCCAGTTGGTGCCATCTGGAGCTTGCTTTGTGAGGTCACCGCCGACACTAGAAATGAGATGGAGAAGCCCAACTAATTTTCTCATACTGTATTTCAGATGTTGCAAGAGAGAAGCCTTGGAAGGGTGCTAACAATCGCTCCTAGAGCTAAGAGCATCTGTCCTTGTATTTATTAACGATGTACACTCATCATCCACGCCACCAGCCTCACGGTGGATGTGCAGAGCAGGGGACACACTTGCTAAGATGTCCCTAGTGATTAGAACTGTCAGGACTTAAATGAAGAACCACCTTATTAAACGGCTCAAGCTGCTTTCCAGTTGGCGTGACTAATGACCAGTCAGCGCGCCCTGGGTTCCTACAACAACGTGACATGCACCCTGCCGAGCTCTTTAGAAACAAGAGCTGTAGGAAAGAGAGACACCATTATGGTCCCAGGAAGACATCGCTAACTGGTGATAGATTTGGCTTCAAGCATAGTCAAGTGGATGCCAAAAATCTGTGATATTGGCTCTGTTATATGTAGAAGAAAATGAATTGTTTGGTCCCCTCCCAATATGCAGAAAGAGTTGTTTTGCATACTGAAACCACTGGATTTATGCCAGATGATACATAATTGACTTTGTTATTTATTAAGTTACCAGATATAATCAGGAATAGGAATCATCCCATACACACAGCACACATCCAATCCCGTATGGGTCTGCTCGGTATCTAGCCAAAGGTAATGCATAAATCAATCAATTATTGATTGGAAATGTGCTAAAGGCCTCAAAAGTTCATAAAAAAAATCAAGTCAATAGCAAAGGTTAAAAAAAAAGACTTTCCCATAACGTAGCAACAAGCCCGTGGAAATTATAAGTAAATGTTCTACTTGTTCTTCATATAATCAAACACCACTACCTTCAGGATAACCCAAAGGGTACACAAAGAAAAAAAACCTGGCAGATGGATGTGTTCCATTTTGTAGAATTTGGAAAACTAAAATATGTATACCACACCATTGATACTTATCCAGGTTTTTAATGGGAAACTGCTTTGAGTTCAGAAAAAGCTGATTCGGTAATTACACATGTGCTAGAAGTTATAGCCATCATGAGTATACCTGTACAAATAATGACAGGCAATTCCCCAGCATATGTCTCTAAGAAAATGAAACAGACTTTACTTATTATAATATAAAGTATATTACAGTTATACCACACAATCTTACAGGGCAGTCAGTTATAGAAAGATCAAATCGAACTCTAAAAGATGGTAAATAAACAGAAAGGGATGATAAATATCCCCAGAAATAGTTTGCATAATGCTTTATTAACTTTGACTTTTCTAAATGCTAATGAGAAAGGAACAACAGCTGTGGAGAGACATTGGCTAGTAAAAATAAAAACTACAAAATTAAATCAGCTGATATACTCTAAAGATGTACTGACCTCAGAACAGAAACCAGGACATGTGTTACACTGGGGAGGGGGTTTTGCTTTTGTTTCCACGGGAGATGAAAAGCTATGGATACCATCAAAATTGATAAAGATTCTATTCGAACAAGAGACACCTCTTAATTAGAAGAGATGATAGTTTTATCAAACAACATGGCCATTTAATCTAAACTAGCCTATAAAACTAACAAATGCTTTCCATTGAATCAGATACAGCTTGCCAAATGTGAATCTCCACAGAATTAGTGTTGGGAAGGGGTTTTGTTTCTGTCTTTTCAGGAGAATAAAGGCTTCCAGCTTAGGAATCTGAAGACCACTGGACAAAGGAGACATCTGAAGAAAAAGGACAAACTGTACAGCAAATATTTCAGGAGCATCTTACTGCCACTAATCCCCAACGGAAGGTGAAGCTTTAGACCTTCATCATCATCACCACTACTACAAGTCTTTGGATGTTGTAAGCCATGAAGTCACTAGAAAATTTTGTCATCGGATGACAGAGGAACCAAAAGTGAAAGAGAGGAAGGTGGATGGGAGGCAGGAAAAGCTAAATTGAAGCCCCAGAGTGGAGAGAAGCGACCAGATGTGGTGTGGAAAGCAAGACTTGGGCCTAATAAAATGATGTTCATTTACTTGGGAAGGAAAAGTAAAGCCTGCCCTGGCTTAGAACCTGAGGGGAGGTCGGGGCACCACAAGAAGGAAAGTAAAGAGGAACTTGATGGTATTTTGAAACTGGCTCTGAGCTCTACAAGATTAAAGTACCACACTTTTCAAGGGAATCCTACGAAAGGTAGCATCCTTTTTGCTTTTATTCAGAGACAGAGTTTCACTATGCACCCCAAGCTGACCTAGAACTCACTGCGCAATCCATGTTGGTTTCGAACTTACCATGCTTCTGACTCAGCTTCCTGAGTGCTGGGATTACTGCAGTGTGTCACTATATCTGGCTCTAATCTTTCTTCATATTTCACTTTATTTTATGGATGATAGCAGTCAAGGAACAGGAGAGACAGCTCAGTGATTAGGAGCACGTGTTGGTGTTACAGAGGACCTAGGTTCATTTCCCAACAACCACATGGCAGCTCACAACTGCCTGTGACTCCAGTCCAGGGAATCCAGTTGCCTATTTCACTTTCCTTTGTCCCTAGGCACAGGCATGGTGCACAGTCATACTGTAGCCACTCATAAAGACACATAGAAACAAAGATACATCTTTAAGATGAAATAGATTTCAGAATGTCATATCAGATCACTTATACCATTAATTTGCTCTTAGGTGAATAATAACAGCCACATTTCAAGGGCCGGATATTATTTAGAGCTCCATTGTAGTTGCTACAATAACATAGACTTCATTGTTGAAATAGGAGCGGCGGGCCGCTTCCCGCCACCCGGCTCCCGCACGGCTAGCTTTATACCCGAAATAGCAACACACAAATGTATTCTTTTTTTTTTT